CAGTCGTCACTGCTCTATTTGTATTGTTTACTGGTTTACAGGCGTTACTACTCTATTTGTATTGTGTACTGGTTTACAGGCGTTACTGCTCTATTTCTATTGTTTACTGGCTTATAGGCTTTCCTGCTCTATTTATTTTGTTTACTGGCTTACAGGCGTTACTTCTCTATTTGTATTGTTTACTGGCTTACAGGCGTTACTGTTCTATTTATATTGTTTACTGGTTTACAGGCGTTACTGTTCTATTTATATTGTTTACTGGTTTACAGACGTTACTGTTCTATTTGTATTGTGTAGTGGTTTACGGACGTTACTGCTCTATTTGTATTGTGTAGTGGTTTACGAAAGTTACTGTTCTATTTGTATTGTCTACTGGTTTACAGACGTTACTGTTCTATTTGTATTGTGTAGTGGTTTACGGACGTTACTACTCTATTTGTATTGTTTACTGGCCTACAGGCGTTACTGCTCTATTTGTATTGTTTACTGGCCTACAGGCGTTACTGCTCTATTTGTATTTTTTACTGGCTTACAGGCGTTACTGCTCTATTTGTATTGTTTACTGGCTTACAGTCGTCACTGCTCTATTTGTATTGTTTACTGGTTTACAGGCGTTACTGCTCTATTTGTATTGTTTACTGGTTTACAGGCGTTACTGCTCTATTTCTATTGTTTACTGGCTTACAGGCGTTACTGTTCTATTGTGTATTGTTTACTGGCTTACAGGCGTTACTGCTCTATTTATTTTGTTTACTGGCTTACAGGCGTTACTTCTCTATTTGTATTGTTTACTGGCTTACAGGCGTTACTGTTCTATTTATATTGTTTACTGGTTTACAGGCGTTACTGTTCTATTTATATTGTTTACTGGTTTACAGACGTTACTGTTCTATTTATATTGTCTACTGGTTTACAGACGTTACTGCTCTATTTGTATTATGTAGTGGTTTTCAGACGTTACAACTCTATTTGTATTGTTTACTGGTTTACAGACGTTACAACTCTATTTGTATTGTTTACTGGCTTACAGACGTTACGGCTCTATTTGTATTGTATACTGGTTTACAGACGTTACTGTTCTATTTGTATTGTGTACCAGTTTTTAGACGTTACTGTTCTATTTGTATTGTGTACTGGTTTACATGCGTTACAAATCTATTTGTATTGTTTACTGGTTTACTGATGTTATAGGTCTATTTGTATTATGTTCTGGTTTACAGGCGTTACTGCTCTATCTGTATTGTGTACCAGTTTTTAGACGTTACTGTTCTTTTTGTATTGTTTACTGGTTTACATCTTTCGGTAATTTTGTGTGATTCATTTTGGTGTAACCCTTTTTTTCTTATTTATATGCAATCAAACTTTAACCTTTTAATCTTTTCTTACATCTGCTGAAATGGCAGATGAAAACTCTCAGATTCCGATAATGGTTCATTGAGTTATTGTGTAGGATCAGTGGTACGATGAATCTGATACCCAACTCTAAAAAATGCAGAGTTTGTCTGTCTCTGTTTGACTTTGTCAAGTTATTGAGTTGGATTTGAATTCATCATATTATAGACAAAATCTGCTGTATTAATTTGATATTGATTCAACTTCGTAAATTTGAATATGAATCATCAGACCTCAATGAATAATAGCTGGAGCGGTGAAACGTACTTGACGTTACATGAAAGGAATTGAAATTGTATGAATTGACAAAATATTAAGGATTGTATAATATAATAGATGATAAATACTGTTCAACACACCAATAAACAAAAATTATGAGACAAGAACGAAGGCTTGTCTTCAGATAGGTATGGACTGATAGTGAAAATATAATACTGATATCCGGTCAAATGATAGTGTCAAAACACGCAAATTTCAGATAAATTAATAATCGAGTCTATTAATACAAATTAATCTGGCACTCCTGATAAAGAAATAAATTTTTATTTTATTACAGATGTGGTTCAATATGTCAGAACTAATAGGGGGTCATAATCGTTCGAAACATATTAGGCTACCCCATACCTGTGCCACGACAGTTATTTCTGACAATTTTAGTCTAGCGTAGAGGCAGAAAATCGAGATTCATAGCATTTTTACAATATACAAAATTTGGTGGAAATTTTAAATTTAGGCCCCCTATTCTTTAATTCAACCTTTACAGATCTCACAATATCTTGTGATTTAACCGTTTTATTATTTTTGTGTGTGAAATATCACTTATTGTATACCACATATGACTGACATGAGGACTTGTATCTATAAAATGTAGAAATCGGTATGATTTTACAATTCTGCTGAAATATGAATCCAAAATTCCAATGGTATAGCATAAACCAGGTTGAAAATTCATATTCTAAAACAGAAAGTCGAATATGCAGTCATCGACATATTCTCGCATGTAAATTTAAAAAGAATGACACAGAGGGGAGGCTAAACATTTACTGATAAAAGCATAGATAGATATGGTCACAAAATTTCATGTTGAAAATTAAACAGATTATTTATTGTTTCGTTTCATCAAACATGAACATTCAATTTTTTTATTGCAGCCAGTGTCATGAAAAAGTGTGTTCCAATTAGAGAATATCAAGACTCAAAATGACCTGTCACAGCAGAAACCAAGACACAGGGAAAATGAAATCGACCATATACACATACGAACATAAAGTTATAGTTTTTGATTCTGCACGATATATTAAAACTGGTTTCAATGTAAAAAAAAAATGAATGTCTTAGACATAAAAACCATTGAAATTATATGAACCAGATCTACAGATCTAAGACAGTCATTCTTTTTGCTTCCATGTCAAAATATTTACACTAAAATTACCAAGCTTTCGTCTTGAAAAATCCACAAGCTAATGCCTTTTTGGATAAATTTGACGTTATGTTCATTATGACGTCATAATGGATAGAGGTGAAAAGAAAACAATGGAGTTCCCACAAGCCCCACCCCAAATTATCTTTTCCACCAAAAATCTTAAATATTTTACATAAATTCCTCTGAAATCGTCATCTACGAGGATAACTGTAAAGGATATCATGTCGAATATTCGTAATATCATGTATATTAAAGACCCATACAACAAACACAAGTTGTTTCAAGCGAGAATGTCGCCAAATTATCTCTTGTTATATAGATAAAAACATAGCAACTTTACTAAACGTTCCAATTAGACCCCTATTCAACTTTCTAGGTTGATATTCCATAGAAAAGTGTTTAAAAATGATTAAACGTGTCAACAACTAACAAATATGTCCTCTTATAACGCTACATGAACTGAAGAATACTTTTAACTTGTGTTTGTTTCGATGAAGGTTCGAGGAAGCGGTCACGTCTTGAAACAGAATCTTCGAGGTTCCACTTCCCCACTGTTTTATTGTGAATTATGGGCATTACCGTAGTACTTCGCAGTTCATTCTGTAAATTACGGTATTTCTGGAAACGAAATTTCTTTTTATGTTATCAAATAGACTTCCAATCAGTGTCCCTATACCGTTTTTTTATGTTTACGTGGAGTGCCAGGGAAAGACATGCTTGTAATGTCACAGTAGTTCATCTACATACTGCGGAATAGCTTAGTCGGTAGTGAGTTGGATGGTCGATTAGGCCATTAGGTGCCGTGGGTTCGAATCCTGCTCAAGGTAAGAAAAATTATGATTCTATACCAGTGCTTCCAAGAGTTGTCCCGGTGTCGGCTCTCACCCCTTAATACCTAATCCATTTCGATAGTGTTATACCTTGTTACTCCTGTGATAAAAGGGAGATAACTACAGTTTTTCAAGGTATTATTATTTTTATTTATTCTCAACAACCAGGGTGTCTGAATAAAGACAATATAGGAGCAAGATATATGTACCTCTTTTGGTATGTATTGTGCATCTTAGGCCCCTTCCCACTCTTATTTTCTTTACCATAGGAAAAGATTTGTCTGCAAGCCCCCTATTCAACTAACACCTAACCAAATGATAAATAAAAATACCACAATATATCACACTGCATCTTCACGATTGTCAAGGTATTACATCTTCATCTTATACCTTGACTGCAATGGCGCACTTTCTTCTTTAGCGGGTTAGCGATTTGATTGGATTGTATGCTAGCATATACAGCCAATCAGAGCCCTCAATTTCATGCCTAACTATTTTTAGTGTTTCGAGGCTCAAATTGGTTTTATCCAATCAAATCAAATTGATGCCTTCATAAACTTCCTTGAAACAAGAATGTGGACATTTGAAGTCAGGATAAAAGATGAAGAGAAATGGCTTCTTAATTTGGTCCCAAGGCCCAATGTTATGCCAATATTTAAGGACGAAGACTTTCGTTTAAGTGAAACCCTCTTTTATAAATCACTCAGGTTTCTCCCTTAGTTGTTTTATCGTTTCAAGTTTGGTTTGAAATGCATCATGTCCTTTTAAATGTAAAGCCAGTCTAAATGCCTTGGCAAAATACATTTTACAAACATCACATTGGTAAGGTTTATCTTCAGTATGTATTTTCATGTGCTGATTTAGAGAACGTGCTCTTGTAAAACACTTTTTACAAACATCACATATGTAAGGTTTCTCTCCAGTATGTGTTCTCATATGAATATTTAGAGTACTTGCAATTATAAAACACATTCCACAAACTCCACATTGATAAGCTTTCTCTCCAGTGTGTATTTTCTTGTGGATATTAAGTGAGCCTTGCCCAGTAAAACGCTTTTCACAAACATCACATTTATATGGTTTATCTCCAGTGTGTGATCTCATGTGAATATTAAGCGCATTTGTCTGTTTAAAACATCTATTACAAACATCACATTTGAAAGGTTTCTCACCAGTATGTATTCTCTTGTGAACATTAAGTGCACCATTCTCTTTAAAACATAATTTACAAACATCACATTCATAAGGCTTTTCTCCAGTATGTTTTCTCATGTGAACATTAAGGCTATCTGAACGAGTAAAGTTCTTGTCACATACTCCACATTGATAAGGTTTCTCCCCAGTATGTTTTCTCTTATGAACATTTAGGCTTACTAACTGGCTAAAACACATATTACAAACATCACATTTATAAGGTTTCTCTCCAGTATGTGTTCTCATGTGAACTTTAAGAGTTGATACCGCTGTGAAACATTTTCCACAAACATCGCAATTGTGAGAATTTTTGTTTTTGACAGATTTATCCATATATAAATTATATTTCTGAAACAAAAAAAAACAAAAACAATGCAGAACAGGAAGAGAAATATTTTACGGATTGGTCTTAGACTTATGGGCGTGCTTTTGTTCAATTGAAAGTAAATTACGGATTGGATATTATATTTGTATATTTTGACTTAGTTCATGGGAAATATATTGACAAGAAGAGGTTGTTTATTTTATGACACGTTCAATATACTTTATGAGATAATTTCAATTTGTCTTAACTTTCCTTTCGTTAGCAGACATTTCCGATTGTTACCCTACAGAGTTTCCACGTCTCAAATGATTATGCAGATCTACCACATCATTTCAGTCAAAATTAAAAGTGTCCATTAAAAAGTTCGGCATGTCTTGAAAAGTGATATATATGGATCTGTGTTGAGACTTAATTTCCCTCATTAAACACTGCATGGTGTTTCCCGTGGCCAATTACCCATCAGGTGTAGAAAAAAAACGACTCATTTTATCTCATTCTTTTTTTTTTCAATCACTTTTTAAAAATCAGGAATCAATCTTTAAAATACGTGCACTTCCGGGTTTGCTTAATTTTAAAGTTTTTATGTGGTTATTATTGATGTATTATTCAGACTTTTACTGTAAGTAGTCAACCACACCCTAACCCTCAATTAATCAATGTTATGCAGCATTTCTTCAGGGAATTTGGATACTGTTTAGCTAGTGTTGATTTTGGATCCCTTGGCACTGTTCCTATTTCGCAATGTAGTGTTTTTAAATAGTTTTGGCCTTTAAAAATTAACAGCTGGAGTTTTTAGTTCAGATTCTTGAAAGGATGCATTTCTCTAGATTTTGGTGTTGAGTTTTCACAAATTTGACCTACAAAAAGCGGAATGTCCCTTTAACTCTTTTGTTTAGTCGTACTTGCTCGCCATATCATTCAATCTCGACACTGTCGTCCGTTCTTGAAAATTACCATATATCTTTTCCGTTTGGCACTTTCGAACAACGCATTGATCTAAAACTTATGGCTAGTACAATCGATAAAGATATGGCTCTGTGCCCCTATTGATGAATATAGTTAATTCAAACATATTCTATATAGTTAATTCAAACATATTCAATATAGTTAATTCAAACATATTCAATATAGTTAATTCAAACATATTCAATATAGTTAATTCAAACATATTTAATATAGTTAATTCAAACATATTCAATATAGTTAATTCAAACATATTCAATATAGTTAATTCAAACATATTCAATATAGTTAATTCAAACATATTCAATATAGTTAATTTAAACATATTCAATATAGTTAATTCAAACATATTCAATATAGTTCATTCAAACATATTCAATATAGTTAACTCAAACATATTCAATATAGTTAATTCAAACATATTTAATATAGTTAATTCAAACATATTCAATATAGTTAACTCAAACATATTCAATATAGTTCATTCAAACATATTCAATATAGTTAATTCAAACATATTTAATATAGTTAATTCAAACATATTCAATATAGTTAATTCAAACATATTCAATATAGTTTATTCAAACATATTCAATATAGTTAATTCAAACATATTCAATATAGTTAATTCAAACATATTCAATATAGTTAATTCAAACATATTCTATATAGTTAATTCAAACATATTCAATATAGTTAATTCAAACATATTCAATATAGTTAATTCAAACATATTCAATATAGTTACTTCAAACATATTCAATATAGTTAATTCAAACATATTTAATATAGTTAATTCAAACATATTCAATATAGTTCATTTAAACATATTCAATATAGTTAATTCAAACATATTCAATACAGTTAATTCAAACATATTCAATATAGTTAATTCAAACATATTCAATATAGTTCATTTAAACATATTCAATATAGTTAATTCAAACATATTCATTATAGTTAATTCAAACATATTCAATAT